CATTTGTTGTATTAAATTAATATTTTGTAAAATCTAATAATTAGAAAGACATTTTATTTTACTTTTTAATAATTGTATTGATATATTCTAATCTTCTTTAAAAAAATAATTGTAGTGTTACATCATAATATATTTTATCTCTTCATTCTCTATCATAAAATTATTTAAAAAGTTTTACACGTCTTATAATAAAGTTTAATAATATACATATATTGTATTAATTAGTTGCATTGATTAATTAATAAAAACATATATTGTATTAATTAATTGTATATTGTCATTGTATAAGCATTACAAAAATAACAAACAAAGGATAACTAATTTTTATAAAGCTAATTTTATAATATTTTAAATTTTGTTTATCATTCATTTACTTTTATTTAACATTTAAGTCGTAATTGATTTAATTAATAAATACAGGAATTAATGAGTATTTATTTAAATAAATAAGTTAAAACATTGATAGCATATTTAAAAATAAATATTAAATTAATATCGACGGCCTGATAGATATTAATTAATATGTATTTGTGATTTCAATGTAAAAATCGAATAATATAATCAATGTTTTATATTTGCGCTATTTAGAAATGTTATAATGATTTACAATAAATGTTATTATATAAACTAAATAACCATTATAATGATTTGTAAGTAAAAAGTGATATGCATGTACACTCTGAATGATATAATATTAATAGTTGAATAAAAAGAGATTTATTTTATTTGTATATTTAATGAGTAAGGTTTTATAATTTATATTTTTATAAAGTAATATTTATATAATTAATTTAGACTTAAATTAATTAAAAGACAAAATAAAAATGACTATAAAATAAAAAATAGAAAATAATATGGAGAGTGATAAAAAATATTAACCAAAATAGAAAGAGAGAAAGAAAAAGAAAGAGAGAAAGAAAGAGAGAGAGAGTAAAGATTTACTTTCTCTTTTTATTTGAACCCTAGCTAGTGTACGAACCCCTTACTCGGCTTTTAATCGACCCCTTACAGAACAGTTTATCTTGAGAGAAATGAGTGAACGCACGAAACAGCACGTGCGTGCACACGATGGTGCTGTCTCAAAAGAAGGGCAGCAGAATGGTGGTTGCTGGTATTTTAAATAGTAAATACTTATCTCGGCGTGACCAGAACTGGGGGATCTACAATGACAAGAGTGACGACGACTACTATGTGTTCACTCTTTTAGTCTATCGAATTATCAATGATTCTATCATTCCATCTCTTCTAAATTACATTGTATAATTCGACTTTGAAAAATTCTTCACAACCTGAAATTGAAAGTCCTTCATATACAGTAACATATTGCTTTTACTAATTTATAAAGAAAGTATCTTTATTACTTGAAATTCTGAATGTATTCTACTTGATATTATGATTATTATTATTGTTATTGTAATTTAAGAATATAAAAGTATTAATGAATCTGTAAATTTAAATTTTAAATGTGTATTAAAAAATGCTCTTTCCAAAAAATTTTAACTTTTATGAATATTATGTATTTGATAGTCTATTTTTATTGATATAAGTTTTGAATCAAACGATCAAATTTTGAATCTGGCAAATATCAAATTTTTTACAAGCCTACTTATATTCAGTAAAAAAAAAAAAATAGTTATATATTTAAATTTTTAATTTATAAAAATATTAATGCATTATTGATACCAGTAAAAATCAAAATCAATTTAAATATGAAAATAATTATAAATAATATATATAATTAAATAATAAAAACATTACTTACTTAAGATTATAAATTATATAATGATTATAAATTCCAATTTTTTAGTGTACTCATTGTATATATTTAGTATATTCACAACTGTATGTAGGGGAAACTAATTTTTATAATGAAATTTTTCACAATTAACGTAAATATTAAAATGTTATAATATAATAAATATTTCAATTCATATTTATTAATGATCAAATTAATTGTTTAAAATTTTAATATAAATAATAAAATGTAATATAAATAATATAAATTTAATATTTTTAGTACATGAAATAAAAAATTATATTATTTTTTGACGTTGAAATTGAATTTGAACTTAAATCAAACATTTATAGGATTAAAGTAGTGAGAATTGTTTTATTAAATTATAAACGTATTTATATTAACAATCTTTAATGTTATTAAGTTCTATCATTTATACGAATAAATTTTCGTTTTGACATAAATAATTTTTATATTATTATTATAAATTTATTTTTAATCGTCACGTACTTCGATTTTATTTACGATACTATATTATATCTATTACAGTGTTCATGTATTTCTATTACGTCGATTTTGCAAATACATTCTGATTGCAATACTATATTTAATATGCTACAATAATATTTAGTTAAATATATGTTGTTCTATCCATCCTTGTAAACGCAATATCTAATGATTACCTGGAGAAAATAAAAGACATAAATTCTTCCTATTCTTAATACATTATGATTTAAAAAATGCAAAAAGTGAGAGATATGTATTATACTGTAACTCGTAGCTAAAAACACATCAAGATTAAATCTAACAGATGTCTTACAAACGACACTAGTACATAATAAAAGTAAGTTTAGGATACATAAACCAAATAATGTTAAGGCATACGGGGCTGTCGCATATGTTATTCACCAGGGTATTCCACTGTCTCAATTCAGTTGTTGAAGCTCATTAGAGGCACAATAATACTAAAATATACCAAATCTGCTTACAAGAAGAAGTCATGATCTACGTTTTGTCCATCTTTCTGTTTTTTAATTTACACTATCTTTCTACATCTTTTTTTATTCATTTTTCTGCTTTTATATATTTTCAACTTTATAACCATCATTCCGTTTAGAATTAAATAACACCTATACAAAACTGTTGAAGCTTATGATAACTTAATACACCAAAGTATGTTCTTTTTTTAAACACTTAAATAAAGCCAAAATTTATTAAAGGTGTCAATTGCAAATAAATAAAATATCTTTTAACAATAAAAACTTATAATTTATTATTTTGCCACATTGTTTATGTAAGTTATAAAAATAATTTCATTTCTGTGTACTTGGTTGAAATTTTATGCAGTAATTATAGCTTACAGATAAATTAATTAATATATTTCCACTATATTGTAGTCAGTTTAGTTAAATTACTATATAATTTTTATAAAAAGTTAATTTATAATAATTATGGAGAGTAAAAAAATATTATTTAATATTATTTAATATTTTTATAACATCTTTGAAAATAAATATCAAGTTATTTTATAATGTGTAACTAATACGTGTAATAAATTCTGCAATAATATTTATTATTACAGCAAATGTATTTTATTAATTATATATAATTCAAAGTACTTATATGTCAGCGTATAAATACTTTAAAAAAATTTTTGTAGTAAATATAATAGATGCATATAAATAAAACTGTACTGCTGCACATAGTGAAAATATTATCGATATAATATTAATTTATAAATGTAATTTCTTAATTACATACTTATTACAATTTATGAAACTATAAATATATATTGGTAACTTAAATTATTCAATAATAATATAATATTGATATTATAAAATATAAAACTAACATTTTACTATTTTATATGTTTAAAAAATAATTGTTATTATAATGTTACTTATTTTTAAATTAAAAATCATAATTTTTAGATAATTTTTTATAACTTACCTTAAAATTATCGTTGAAATTACTGTAATGGATTGATAAAAAATAAATTGATGTATATGGAAATACGTGATTATTTATTATAATTATATTTATATCACCGGACTTTGTGGTAAAGTAATTGTGTAAAGTGAACATATTTTTAATTACATGTGAATTGCATTTTTAATCTTTTAAAACATTTTAATCACTTCGTATTAGTACGGATTAATCCTTTGTTATTAGTATTATACTTAACACATATTTACATCAATCGCAACTTAGTAAATAATTGTAACATATTCTATATATACACACACATAATTCATACGTAAAAATATGCGTAGGCATGCATACGTAGACGCAATTGCATACGCACATTTATAGGGACAGCGAATAATAGTTTTCACGACATATTCATTGTCATTTATAATAATTTTGTACCGTAATAAAATTCTGATAAATTAATATATATGTATATATATATATATATATATATATATATTACATTTTGCACTAAAATAGTGTGTAAAATATTATTGAATGAAATACAAAATATTAAATATTTAAATATTCACTTTAAGCTAATTTCTTTGTTTAGAAATAGGATTCAGCTAATTAATAATATATAATATAAGTTTCTAATTAAAATTTCATCAGAATAATCAAAATATAATTACCAATGTATTTTTACAGGATGGTGCATACAGTAATTAATACAGATGATATGACTTTCTTCAGAACTTTATCGAACTTTTATTGAAATCTATTAACAAAATATATGGTTTATTAAGTATAAACAGATGTCAATTACATATTAATACGCATGCTAGTGTTGAATCTAAATATCCGAGAGCATTTTTAATATTTATTTTGCAGTTCATTATTTATTATATCTACAAGACGTTTTTGGAATTAACAAATAAGTTTCTTAACTAATTAACAGGGTGAATAATACAATATTACATTTTTGGATAAAAAATTTATGTACAACAACAACAATTATTATTATTATTATTATTATAAAAATTAATATATAATAATTGATTTCAAAATAAAAAATATTACATACTATTATCTTAAATAATGATATGCATTCCCAATAAAAAATAATATTAACAAAAGCTTGCGCATTGAAATCCTTTAAACTGATTTAAATTATTAAATTGTGATAACATATATAAATTTAATAGAGACAAGTAATTTTTAGTTTAATTTAAAAACATAATAATATCGATACAATTTACCATTTGTTATTAAATATTAAACATTAGCATTGATTATTCCACTGGCCAGAGTTTTAATCTTTTTCTTTTATTTAATAATCTATAAAAATCAATCAGATTTTTAGATTTCTATTTGTTTCTAAAAATGATTTTGGTAGAAATGGAAAAAATAGAGTACTGGATATTTAAGTAAGTTTGCGCTCATTTATATAATAGTACATAGTGGAGGGGATGAAGGCCATTATCATGAGGCGTTCATAAAATAAAACAAATGAAACTTTAGGTAAACTCCAAATCAGATTCGCCCTACCAGACAAGACCCTCGCTTTGTTGTATCTGATGAGATTCAGGAAAACCGCTAGTGCCACCTCCAGTCCCAGGACCGCCAGCATTGTTGTTTCCTGGTGGGTTACCTTGTCCTCCACCTATTAACAATATGGAAAAAGTGGATTATGTAATTAAACATTTATTTCATGAAGTAAATGCTTGTATTATGTTCCACATTCTGATTCAAAACAAATAAGAATATGATTAAATAAAACAATAATGTTTTATTGAACAATTGGAGAGACATAATATTTGATACATAATCAAATATAAACAATTGGTTTCATTTAAAGATACTCATTGATATGCCTACACTATATATTTTTATATTATTTTTGTAAATTTAGTATAAAATATACATTTATTCGATAATTTACCACCAGTGCGGGTACACTATTATTTTTAAAACTACTTGTAATCCAAATTTATTTACAAAATCATATACATTAAATACATTTAATAATATACATACAATACATTTATTCGTATAAAATATTCTGATACAAAGATAAAATCGACTAAACGTATTTATCATCTCTTTTTAATTATAAATCAATCTCATTAAGTTTATTTCAAATACGAACAATGATAAAAGATTTAATAAAATATTTATTGCTGAGAAATGATTCAACTTCTAAGGCCTCCAACTAAACGGGTGTATATAATTTATTATTTCTTGTACTCCAATGCATTATGTTGAGAGATACATTGAAAATTAATAACTAAATTAATGAATCAATAAAAAGCATGTTCTTGAATACAATTTCGGAAGAAGTAAATATACAAGTATAGGCATGCATATTTTTGTGCAAATGTCTCTAAATAATGACAAATTAAATACAAAATATTAGTATACAATTTAACAGGGAACATGAAGCGCATCAATGGCAGAATCATGAATTCATTTTTATAATTAATTATATCAATTTCATTAATATTGGGTTATAAGCATTTTTTCTTTCGTTACGACTTTTATATAATCCAAAAGTGTAAATACCATAGAGAAATTATATAAAATTCTTTTATTTGCCGTTTTGAATTGGATAGTTTCGAACTTATTGAAAAACACTTACCTCAGAACTTCGCTACAAAATTTCAATCCGCATAATGTAAAATTTTATAAGTAATCTAAAACTATAATGGACTATCGAAAAAACTGAATGTTTATAATTATTAGTTTATTAATTGAAATATTTAAAAAATATATTTAATAAATGTATACATTTTAATAATTTTCTTAAAATAAATTATTATGTAGTACTACGAATTTAAAACAAGAAATAATAATTTTTAATTCTTGTAAATACATTTTGTAAACATTATATTGTTTAAATTTAATGCATCCAGTTCTATGAAAATTTTATTTATATTGGTTTCGAGTTTATTATGGTACTTATCCAGGTAAGTTTATATGGTACTTACATACTGATATTATTAATTAGTCTAAATATTATAGTAATAGTATAGCAAAAATAGTAATTGTTAAAACATTTTATGTTTTTAATTAAAAAATAATAATACTCATTAATAAGGTAAGTAGCATAATTCAATTACAATTAAATGTAAAAGTGAATAGTGGAAATATAAATACTTTGATTTATTCAGAATATTATTTAATTGTACTTTAATCATTAATATAACCTAAAAAAAGAAATATTGTATATTATTATTTTTTTACACACATTAATTATTTTAGTTAATTCCTTTTCTAAAAGCTAAAGTTTTATAAGATCAGTTCAAACATAATATTACTTTTCATAAAAATAATTATTTAAATGAATAAAAATTAATTTTCATATAAAATGATGCCAACTCTAGGAATTATAAATTCTAATAAATTCTAAACTTTTTGAAATATTAAATATTTTGTATTTATAAATAGTAAAGTGCAAAGCTGCAAAAAATTTCTTTTTCTTTTAATAGCATCTAGAATAGAAATTCTCCAGTTAGTATAACTTTTCGGTAAAGTATAAGTCCATGTAATTTATATCTAAATTAATTTATATAATAACGTATTTTATAATCGATTATTATTATTACAGATTTTTAGAAAAGTGTTTAACACTTATATAACATCACTATTATGTAATACTTTCATTAAAATTATATTTTACTTAAAAATATAATATTTAAACGTGAAATTTTAATAGGTTTTTAGGAAACTTTTAAATATTAAAATAAGTTTATTTTATCATATATATAGAAATATTCAATAAAATAAAAATTCCATCATATTATATAATCTATAAAGGATTTAAAGTTTAAAACAATTTTTTATTGATGAAATTAAGTAAGCAAATGAATAATTTCTATATATATTCATTACTGTATCTACCATAAAAATATTTAAGCATGTTCAATAATTGTTTACCTTGATGATTGAATATTCATCAGTGATTGAATATTCTTAATTTACTTTACTGACGTTGATTATTTGATGATTAACTGGTGGTGTTCAAAACTTTGTATATTTATTTCTTACTTATCACCATAATAACATTGATTTTTTAATTTATATTTATAATCATTAGATATGTGAAAGATCTATCTTACTACATTTAGTCTTTTTAAAATAGTAATCCATATTATGAAAATTTTCATTCCGTAACAATTATAGGAAATCATTACACAGAATCTAATATTTCTTTAATCCAGTAGACTTAAGTTTTTAATCGGTTTAACTTACGTGTCTAAACTATACTCATATTTGAATCCAATATTAATACCACTAAGCTACATAGCTTAATTTAAATTTGATCATTGGAGCAGATATATCTACCTGAGGAAGTGCTATAGATGAGTAGTTTGGTTTAAGCTTCAAAGCTTTTTCCATAGTTTCTTCTTTTGTAATTGTGATTCTCATTTTAGGACATTTTTATATTTAAAACGTGTCTTCATTATTACGTGTCTTTTAATTTCAATCTTTTTAAGGAAGAAGACGTTTGTTCTTTATAATATTAGATTAGAAAGGTAACATTTTGACTAAAACGTATAGACCTCAGACAATTAAAATGAAAAAATAATAAATTAATTATAATTCAATATCAAAATAGCACCACAATTTTTTAGATAAAGGATGTTTAAAATAATAGAAATAAGTAAAATAGAAAAGTGTGATTTTTAATATTATCAGTATCATAAGAGAGTCACAAAACGCTATAAAATTAATAAAAATATTTTTAATTTATCATTTTATTGCACTATATATATATATATATATATAGTTTATATATATATATATATATATATATATATATATAGTTTATATATATATATATATATATATATATATATATAGTTTATATATATATATATATATATATATATATATATTTATATATATATATATATATATATATATATATTGTTTATCAAATTATTTATACTGACAATTACAATCTTAAAAGTAAAATTAATATTTAAAAAAATGTTCTAAAAGCAGAAACCAAAATAGAATACAAAAAGTGCAATATACCTGTAGGTGCTAGAAATTCAGCTGGACTATTGGTTGAAGGTACAGACGGTCCTTGACCAGGGGGCCCTGTTAAAAATTCGGGTGGTCCTGAACCGGCACCAGGTGGAGGATATTCACCTGCAACCGCTGCCGCTGCAGCCATACCAGCTATACTCGTTGGATCAAGACCTATTGTAAATACACCAATTATTTATACGCGAATTCTACAGTCTTGAATTACTATTACTATAGCGACTGCATACTCTTTCTCTCTCTCTCTCTCTCTCTCTCTCTCTCTCTCACTCGCTCACACACTCTATCATCTTTGCCCTATTATTTATTGTAGTTATTTACCTATCAGTCAAAAATATAACGAAAAAATTAAACTTAATAAAGATTAATAATCCAAGCATCAAGCGTTTTTGTAATTACAAAATTGATAAATATTGATTTATTTATACATAATTTGATTTGACTTTAAGAATAATCAAATCGAAAATTAAATAATATATCTGAATATTATACTGCTTTTTTAATTAGAAATATTTTTCATTTAGTGTTTATGTTTGAATTTTTATATATATTATTCTATATATATATTTCTATATGATTATTTGACAAATACATAAGCATAATAATAAAAAAATGGAATTAATAAGATCATATATATAAGAAGGTGATGATGAATGAGTCAAAAGCGTTTATAAACTCACCAGGATTGCCAGGACCACCGAAGGGTGGTCCATGAGGATGAGGTGGCGGATGCGCTCCAAAAAATTCGTGGTGAAAAGCAACTGGAGCTCCGTACCTAAAGTCAAATTTATCATCGAAGTAAGGAAAACCTGGCGGCGGTCCATCTTCGCCACCCAATCCACCATGGTTTATATTTAATGGAAAACCACGCATTTTACGCGAACCTCCAAAAAATGGGTTTCTACCCATCGAAGTCAATTGCTTTAGTCGACGTTCTTTGCTCCTCTTATTCTGAAACCAAACCTACAATAATCCTAAATGGTACTTTTCTATGCCATCTTTGTACATTATAAACAAAATATAACATAGCTACTCTAATAAATCGATTTTAAATAAGTTTTTAAAAATAAGGAAATGAATAATGAATTTAATGAAGAACCCCAATTATATTTATTGTAATAATAATAATTGTACTTTATGATTATACAGAAAATATTATTTAAATTATTGTTGAATTATTATCATGTTATTTGTGTAACGTGTATTAATTTGTTTAATACAGAATAAATAATAGAAAAACATAATACTTTAGATATATTAGAATATCATACATTAAAATTAAATTAAAAAAGTGTAATTTAAAAAAATCAATAATTTTTTAATTATAACTAGAAATTAAAAATAGATAAAATGATGTCATCGATGTATTTCTGCACAATAAATCACATTAGAAATTAATTAATGTATACAAAAATAATTTTATGAAAAATTAGATGTTGTAAAATAATATTCTATAGTTTTTTAAAGAGTTTGATCAAAATTTATTAAAATTCCACTGAACGTAATTGTAAATCGAAATACTACCAGAGATAATTATAAACATTTGGGCAAATAATAGTTCCTATAATATTTCATATTATGAAAATTTTCAAAGTAGCATTAAATTAAATTTAAGTTAAAATAAAATGTATATTTTAGATAGCGGGTCTTATAATTATTTTTATTTGATTGGCCGAATTTAATAGTTTATTATTAAATTGTTTATCATAAATTAATAAACTTATTTATAAAATTTGAACATCAAAGAGAAATTTTATTTCTTGAATACCACAGTAGTGCAAATATTCATAAATAAAATATAAATAAATCCAATACTTAAAAAATTTTGATTGATAAATAGTAAAATTTTATATGTATTTATTACTAATTTTGAACATAATCATATTTACTTAGCATTAGTATAAAATACAAAAGATTTAATCAAATTATTTTGTTTATAATTATAAATTATAATAAATATCGTATTTTTTATTATCAGTCAATTTTTAACTCAACTTTTTCGTACCTCACATTTAAATTTGAACTGTAAATTTTCTATGGTTATTTTCCAAAAGAATATTAACTTCATGATTTTGGTCACCTGTATTACTCGCATGGGCAAACCAGTCTCTTTAGCGAGCTGTTCGCGAATATGTCTCGTTGGCTTTGGCGTTTGTGAGAACGCTGTTTTTAAGATTTCTAGTTGCTTGGCCTTGATAGTTGTACGCGGTCCACGGCGCTTAGAGCCAGCACCACCGTCACCACTACCACCGCCTGCACCACCATCTGGACTCTTATTTTCGGTCTGACTATCCCTTGTTTCTGGGTCACCATCTAGTGAACCTATAAGCATTTTTTAATTCTTTCGAATATATATTTATACGCTTTCTATCGTATCTAATGAATAAAATAAACATAAACATAGATGAAAACAGCTGTAAAACATCACAAAAATAAATGCAGTCATTTGAAAAGATTTTTACAAATTTAATATTCGATTTCAGAAAAATATGTTGTATATTACTATTAATAATTAATCCGTTTATTAAAAGTAATATAATGACGTATATATAACAAATATAATTATCTATAAAATAAAAACAAATTACGTAAGTATGAAAAACATGATATGATAAATAATTTTGATTATTTGATGAATAATATAACAATTGAAAATCATAATATTGATAAATTTTCGTATATAACATCTCATTAGACAGCTCATTAAATTACTAATTGATAATTATTTTTAGAATTTTTATAGTATTTTCATTCAAATCGTTATATAATAATTAATTTAACTATAAAAAATTTTAATAATATATAAATATAATTTTAATTACACGAATATAATACAAATCCCATTTATTTATAATGCAACCGTTTAATTGAAGTATAATAAATGTTAACATATATTATTTATTAATGTATAGATATATATATATATTTTTTTTTTTTAAAGATTTTTATACATATAAAATTATTTATTATTTAGTCATATATTTACCTCTCTCTGTGTGTGTGTATATATATATATATATATGTGTGTGTGTGTGTGTGTGTGTGTGTGTGTGTGTGTGTGTGTGTACAGAATTCCTATTTTTCATACCTGTCCTCTTGTTCATCTTCCTATACTACACGTAACTGAGCCATAATGCAGATTAGCACAATGCAGATAGATAGTTGAAAAGAGGGGGAAATGGGTATATAAGTTTAGGTTATCGAATGTAATGAAAATTCTGATAAAATTATCATAGCTTTCCGATGAATATAGGATTTACGATAATCTATATTGTTGCTCAACTATATGTAGAATAAGTATAGAAAGATGAAGAACAGACCGGAATGAAAAAAATAATAGAGATATAAATTGGAAAGTAAAAGGTATTATTAATATTCAATTCATATTATGTACACACTAACTTTAAAAAATATCAATTAGCTTTATTTGTTTAATTGCAATAGTATACGGTATTCGGCTCGATAATTCACAGGTATTTTAAAGTTATTAATTTAATATTAAATATACTTAGTCTTTTTCTTAATAAATGTTAATTTATTACTATCTTATTTTAATTCCTACTATCTAATTTAATTATTCAATTTATTCTTTAGATTTATCAATTATCTATATCTAATTATTTAATTACAGATATGTTATTCTTCTAATTGTATGGGATTGTGTATATTTATAAATAGCAGTTTACAAAAATAATTAAAAAGTATTGGTATTATTTTTTAATTATTTCTGTATTATTACATATTAATTAATTACATATTAATATTATTACATAATAATGTATTATATATCGGATGCAAAAAATTATCTTATTTTAATTTTTATTTTATTCCTTACGACTATTAAATTTTTTTTTTGTAAAAGCCTTATTATTGTAAAAAATTTATTTAAAATATAAATAAATCTCTGTTTAATTAATTTTGATACATTCATGTATATATGGCATGATTATGATATGTTTATTAATATTTCTTTAAAATATTATATATGATTTCATAAACAAAATTAACATTATTTTATATATCAAAGTAAGTCTTTCGAAAACTTTCAAAGTATGAAATCATCATAAGTCAGTGAACCTATCATTAAAAATAAAAAAAATAGAAGAAATTTAAACGATAAGACACTTACCTTGATCTTCCGAGTCTTCTTGCTTACATGGATCACTGCTAAGAGGTAAATCACTTCCGGATCCAATAATTTGATCTGCTGGGCCACCTTGTCCTATATTATGGGCCACCAAATGTGACACAGCAACACTACTAGAATGCTGATGGCTGATGCTATTACTACTTTCCTCGTCTTCGTCCTCGGAACCCGAGCCCATTAAGGAGTCTCCGCCTACAATCGTTAACAAATTTATTGATATTCAAATTATTAATTATAATACTAGGTTATAAGAGATATCATAATTTTATGTAAAAATTATATTAAAAGACATGGTAAGTTTCATAAGATAAGTTAACCTTTTAACAAAATAAAAGCATTTTATTTATGTTTATAATCATAAATATAAATTTCACTTAATGCAATCAATTTAATATATTAAGTAACTAAATCATTGTTTTAATTTCATTGTTAGACGTCAATTTATTATCTTATATTATGTCTATATATTACCTTATATCAATATATTACCTTATATTCATTATTTTTTCCAAACTTATATCAATTATATTAATTAATCTTAGTATATTACAAATTGATTTCAAGAAATTTTGTACATTTATTTTAGATGCTTCTTCTGTATCATACCTACTTTCTCTTTACATAACTCTTACATCAATTTGTTTTAATATTTTATTTTATTCTTTATATCTACTTTAACTTATTCTATTTTAACTTATTCGTATTTTATTTTATCTATTATTTCTTCAACAATGTATTTTTTAGTTTCTTATCTTCTCATTCAAGTAATATTCTTATTTTTTCTACTTCTATATCTTTTCAATTTTCAAGTTCACTGTTCTTTGCAATATTAACATTTAATAATATGCTATATTTATTATTATTAAAAATCAGTAAATACTTTTAATAATACTTTTACAATTACTTTTTATAAATATAATTTTTTTAATGCCCTTTTTAAAATTATAGAATAAGTACATGTTCACTTTGATCACATACTATAATAAAAGAATCCATGTTTATAAAGAAAAACAATATTAGAAATTTTATTTATAAATATATAAGATAAAAGACTAAAAGTAATAGTCTACGTGAATGAAATAACACAATCCTCTTCAGAAATACGTTTGTGCATTTTTTAATTCAATTATTTATACAAGACAATATAATAATAATAATAATAATATGTATAATAATAGGAATTAAAATACATATACTTATACATGTAAATTTTTACATACATAGATGTAGAATTAAGTTTGCTATTTGTTAATTATTACACATTGGATTAGATTTTACTAATTATATTTCATCGGTATCAGATAGTCATGAAAATGACATTCAAAATTTGGCATTTTGAATATAATACAATATAACCGTATATTAAGGACAGATCAGACAAAAAACATTATCATATTTATATAAATCATTTTGTATAAAAGTCATTTTTATCATACGATAATTGTTTTGCAGGTGTCCTAGAAGAGTTTTTAATCTATATTCTACTAAAAATATTACGTGACTAAAATATGCTAATATAATGTTTTGAAAGACCCTTTTTTATTTTACTATGTTTCTTCGTAGAGTATAACGCCTTGCAATTATAAGATGGCATACGATAAGCAAAACCCATAATATAAAGTAACTTAAATTTTGGTTCCATCAGTAGAAAATAAACATCGGATGTACCCATCATAGTTTTTATTTGACGCATTCTACTTTTATTTTTATCTTTTACTCCCTTCTGATATATTATAATCAGGCTTATAGTTAAATACTAGGAATCACAAATCACTATTCATATCCGAAAAGTTTTATTTTTTTTATATTTTTTTCCTTTTGCGTTTTTACCTTTATTTTATTTTAAATCTATTTAGTATTATCGTAATATGCTGTATTTTTTATATTTGTTGATGTTTATAATTCACTTTCTACACAATTTTGCCATCAAACCAATTAATTTTTGCTTAAGGCTTTAATTATTTCAAAATATAATTAAATTCAGTATATATATATAATAATAGTAATAATATATAATAATATATATAATACATACATATATATATATATATATACAAAACAAAAAAATATATATATCAATATTTATTCAAAAGCCTAGCTTTAATTATGAAAAATTATTTAATAAATATATTCCACACAGTCAAAAATTAAATTTAAATCATCATATTATAGGTATCATTTATTTGTAATTTTTATAGATTTAATGTGTTATTTAGTACATTATATTAATATAATCTGTAATCATATTAATTTCGATAGATAAAGAACAAATTATAAACAATATAATTATAACTACACAATTATATTTTCAAAATAAGGGTAATAAACATAAATAATTGTATCCTCGCAACTACCTTTTATTTTAATTACTTCTAAGCTTTTTTATTTATATTATATTTTATTTTCCCATTCCATCCCTTTTGCGTTCTTCTCTCTTTAACTTGGTTCAAACTGAGAGAATTTCAACTTCTAGCGCGTTGAACTGTGACTCCCTCACCCATTGACTCTCGTCCCCTTTTTGCTATCACCCTGGCTGAAAAATGAACAAGAAAAGAAAAAAAAATAAGAGCTTTAATCTATCGCTATTATTTTTGAAACTACCTGTTTTGCGAACCAAAATTGATCACTATGTATAACGTCATATAGAGCAAACTTTATCCTTGAAAAAGTCTTTGTAATAATATATTATTAGAGTTTATTCAAGTTATATATCGATACTTATTTGTAACATAAATATTATTACAATATAAAATTTTGTCTTTTATAAATGAAAAATTAATAATTTCATTAAAATTATTACCAAAGGATTAAACTATTATCAAATCTTTTAAATAATGAGTGTATTTTTATTATTTTTATACAATCTTATTACTGATATTAATATTTAAATAATATTGATTGATCAATTTTCCAATTGATTAATTATCAAAAAAATGTTTAAAATTTCAGAAAACTTCATATATTGTGTATCTAAAATTAGTTTAAAACTATTGTTTATTTTCCATAATTTAATAATCTCTCTGCTACCGTTTTATTAAATTATATACTAGGATTTTATTTATATATATTATAATATTTTTATTTTATTTATATATATATAATTTCATCGTGACTGAAAAGTAAAACAATATCTACTATAATGTTCGGTTTTACTCAATAAAATAAAATTGAGATTAGGTCTTCGGCAGTTTTAGAAATTGAGTATTAATTTCTAAATGACAGTATAATTATAATAATATTACGTAAATTTAACATAAAAAAAAGATGTCGAGAAATATTCATTTATTGGTGTTCAAAATAGAATAATAGAATATATAAAAAGCTAAAATACCATGACGTCCGTGTATATGATGACCAATGGGCAAGGTTTTCCCCGAAAGATAATCATCCTTGCATATAAAGGTGTTGTCATCTAATACATAAAGTTCTTCGCCGGTACTCATCTGCTTTCGACAAACCAAACAGGTGAAACAATTCAGATGGAAAACCTTATCTCGCGCTTTTCGTACTAAATCCGATGGATTAATACCTTGCGAGCAGCCACCGCATTTTGTTCCATAACGTCTAAAATGATAACAATATAAAAATATATAATATTGCCTTTAAAGTTTCATTTTATTAATTATTTTAACGTTGGGTTGATAAATTAAGAATACTAATTGAAACTGTAGTTATAAAACTTAGTTAAAATGTAATACATGTTCAAAGCAAAATATTTATTTAACTTTCATTGAATATTATAAAATTTTTACGAAACTATTTTATAATAACAATAATAATGTAAAATATATTATATTTAAATAATATATTAATATAATGCATCAAATATATGAAAAAATACTTTATAATATATTGTATACTTTATAATATATTTTATACTATCTATTTGACAATTTTTGTTATTATTAAACTTTTTAGAATTATAGATAGTAATGTGACATAAATATTAATAAAAAAGATATAATTTGTATATATTTATTTCAAAAAAGGAAAATTATTAATAATATAAAAATGAATATAAAAAATGATCTGTTCATTTTATTAATTAATAATTTCAAGAACAGCGATATTTACTTAAAATTATAGGTTGAAATCAATTAATATAAATATCAATAAATATAAATTGAATATCAGATTTGTACTTGTTTTGTTTTATTGTATCACATCAAGTTTTTCAAGAAATAGATAACAACTTAGAAAAAGAAAGATTTCAGAGACTTGTACAATCCTTAATCATAATTAACATCTAAAAAATGTATAAATTTTTCTAGTATAATTTCATAACAATGTAATAAATTATGTCATTTAAATAATAAAATTTAGATTAAAAGAATTGTTATTTTCAATGAATTCAAGCATAATTAAATATAAATAATTAATTTTTTTATGAGAGATATTTAATTTCAATAAATCCAATGTGCAATTTTTACTTAATTTTATCAATTTTATGTTTATATATTACTTGATTTCCTTATTTTCTTATTTACTTTATTTATTACTTGATTTTTGTTTTTATGTTATACGTCTAAGTAAGTTGGTTATTATAATGAAATTTAAAACATTTACATAATTCATTTCAATATTTTAGGGCATAAATAACAAATTAAAAAATATATTATTATTTAACATACAGTTTGAGTGATACATTTATTTGACTGAGAATGTTAACATAAAAGAAATTAATGATCTGAGTTTTTGACTATCATCCATATTTTATTTATTCTATGACATTATTTTTTAATACTTCATAAGATTTCGTAAGATTCGCAAACATGATCTTTTTTATTTTAAATTACAAAATTTTTGAGATCAAAATATCTTGCCTGATACATGATTGTATATAATTTAGATCATAATTATAATGTGATGTCCTTAAATTACTTAATAATATTTTGATATATATTTGTAATATATAGATATCATCAACTACTGTAAAAGTGTTACCATGAATAGTAATGATACTATAAGTAGTAAGAATATTATATTCGTGTTAAGTTTGGAAAATAATTTTCTAAAGTATTTTAATATATACTGCAAAATATTTTTATACAAAAGCGGTTTTTTATTTGTCAATTCATACATCTTTTAATTAATGAAAGAGGAGTAATCTCTAAAATCTGATATCGTTGATAAGATTTCAATTTTTGTTTAAGTCATACACACAAGCAAAATTTAACTTGAAAATAAAATAAAAGAGAGAAAGAGAGAAAGAGAGAGAGAGATACAGAGAACTTGTATACAAGAATAAAAAATATATACATTCTAAGAAGGGAACCCTTCGCCGTCACGCCCAACAACTGTGAGAACCGAGTGAGCGTCACGGCACATTAGTAATATTTCCACTTTCGAGTTTTGAACTTTCTCGCTTCGTTTAACATGTCTCTGTATCTCGTTCCTATGCCCCTCTTTAACTCATACTGCTTTTTGCATTGTATGTTTATATGTCTGTGTATTAGATTATCATACAAAAGAAAAGAATAGTCAAGCTAGATGATGATTCCAATGATTGGCTTGATTCTCCCTATGAATCTGTCAAAAGACCTGTTAAATTTACAACACTTATGCATCAGTTATTTTTTCAATTAAAGGTATATAAATGATGATATATACAAATTAATATTTATAAAAAAATTTAGTGTTATAGCTTATTAATGTTTTAAATTCAAATGAATAGGAAACCATATTTATTTATATTAAACAGTTGTATTCTGAATTTATATTTTGTAAGCATTAGAACATCTGGTATTATTTTATAAATGTATAAAAATTAACATTACATGTACTTAGAATTAAATATATATAACATAAAATTTATACATTTTTAAAAGTTAAACTATATTACATTTTGTTATCATAATATATGAATTTAATATGTGAAGATTGGTTTAAAATGGAATCATAACTTTCCATTTGCATCTTTATTATCTAAATTATATCTAAAATAAAAATTAGAATAATTTATATAAACCAAAAAACAATTATATTTTTTAAATATTTCCATAATTCTAACAAAATCAATCTACTCTTAGAGAAACATGCGCTATGGAAAGTGCATTGTTGATTTATTTATCTATAATTAGCAATAAAAATAAAATATGTTTATTAATTAATATTAATAATTTTATATTAGTTTATTTGTATTTAATAACATTTTTAGGATTATGTAATGACTAATATAAAATTAAACAGCTTACCTATTCCTGTTTTATACTAAATTATGTACTTTCATACATGCATTTGTAAGAAGAAATTGTTGCAAATAAATAATATATAGAATATACTAATAATTAAATAAATTCTATATTTGAATTAATATTAATTCTAATATATAGTTATATTTTCTAATATAAGAAGGTTTCAAACTAAGTATTTTCTTTTTAAAAAGGTAGATATGTAGAATGATTAATGCTATTTTAATACTAAATATTTAAATACTATTTAAATGCATATGATAAAACTATTAAATGACTTAAAATTCTACCATTCGAGTTGTAATTAGATATTTGCAAAATGAAAATAGTATCAGTTCTCCAAATTCTATTGATATCTTTTAAGTTTAATGGATGCAAAGAGTATATAACATAGAAGATTCATTATTACTCGCGATGAGCGTGATACAAGCGTAAAATTAAATTATTTCCTGGAAATTATTTGCTATGATCTTTTATTTTTTAGGTTTTATTATAAGGTTTTTTTATATAATCTTATATTAACTTAAATTTTCAAACAAAACATAAGCTTTTAAAACAATTAATTTTAAACTTCATAATATATGTTGTCCGCAACACCTTCTACTTCTGATAAAAAAATTGTTATATAAATTGCGTATTCAATTGTTTATTAAATATTTAATAAATACCTTATAACATTTTTAATCCATATAAATAGCAATATATATATATATTATTACATTGTCTTATATAAATCCTCAATGTATACATCTTAATATAAATCCTAATATTCTTAATAATAATTTGCAAATGAACTTGAAATTCTATTTCAAGATATAATATGTATCATGGTTAACAATTTTAGGTTGATACATGCATCCGTTGAATATATTTTCATAATATGATAAAGTAGTTATAATAAACTTTATTATAATACTTTATTATATATAATTATAAATACTTTATTAAAAATCAATTTAAAGTACAGTATGATAGCTATTATTAAAAAGCATTATCATAAATTTGAGTTAAACTAGTATAACACTTTCAAAATTTAAATATAATATAATAGAATTATATAAAAAAAATTATAAATTACAAATTAATGGAAAAAAGAGAATCTTTTTTATCTTTAGAATATTTTTGTAATTAAGTGCACTATCAAACAACCGCGATGAGTCTATTTGAAACAATCTAGAATGCAGTATCGAGTTCTCCAGTTTAACTTATATAAAAAAAACACCTTTCATTTAATCCAACGATCATTCACATCATTTCTTCGACTTTAATATAAGCTGCGCTTAAATCAATAAACTATTATAAATATAAACGTAAATTAATTATTATTAATTATTAAAATAAATACATTAAATATTACATTTTGTATACATGCGTATTGTTATATTCAACCAATATAATTTTAGTTGATTCACTTTAGTTAACAACTAATCATAAATTAGTATTGACTTGTCTTTTTATTACTTTTTTTCTAAAGCATTTATTCGTACTCTTTCTTTCTCTCTCTCTCTCTCTCTCTCTCTCTCTCTCCTTAATTATTCTATATAATTAATTCCCTTACTCTATCTTTCTCTTTTTTTCTATTTTTATTATTTAAGAACAGTGTTGGATAATCCATATAACATCTAAATCTATTTTGCTTACCTGCCTGCTATATTCTGTGATACCCTCTTAAAATTATATTGAATATGTATTTCACAAGGATTCGTAACATCATGTAACTAGACTTTGATTACCACTCATATCTAATATTGTTAACATACTTTGGATAGTGGAAGACAATATTATAGAAAACCATGATAATAACACATTTAGTCGGCAACTAAAGGATGAAAAGGTGACAATACCGGAAAATTTAATTTATTTCAACAGTGATTATTTAAGTAAGTAAGTACCTTTGAATTTATCAGTTAAAAAATTTTGTAAATATTTTATAATAATTTTATTCTCCACTGTTCTTATTTAATATGAAAGTTACTTCGAATCATTCTTTTCCAAATAAGATTTTATTTTATTTTTCCAGCTTTCTCAGTTAGCACTGCATAAACTAAGAATGTATGTTACTGTATTTTTTGAGCTCGCTATTAATCATAGCTTATCCAAATTTACATTCATAAGTTTTTCGTCAATGATTGTCACATAAAAAAGACAGAAGTTTTTCCGTTTAATAATATATTAGTACGAGTACTTGCATTTCACGTGTTACTGTTGTGTTTTACCAATGCATCATAATTGCTATTACCGCCGTTTTCATCTTCTTTGATATGACAAATAAGATTCAGGCTGAACTTTTTCTTTTATCACAATATTATCACAATCATATCACTCATTGCATATGAGCTCTTGAAATATTAACTCAGAATATGCGAAACCGCATTACAATATCAAATCATATTACTTAAAATCTGAAAGTTTTGTAAAATAAACGGCTGTAATTCAAATAGAAAACCATTGTTCATATTAATATCAGATCCGAAAATTATGTGAATAATATAATGCTCTTAATAGTAAAGTAATATGCTTATAAAGAGATAAAAAAATAATCCTAGACAAAAATACTTCAAATATATTACAATATTCTCTAATATGGTTAGTAAGAATGATAGTAATTTACTTAAAAATATACTCATCCCGTTGATTGTTATTTTGTTAGTTCCAAGTTTCATATATTCGTTTGGAATTATAATATAAAGCTTTCGACAATTTTATTAAAATCTATTTAGCACGCTTCATGAAATAAATATAGTAAAAAATATTTTGACTTTTAAAACAAAAAAATACAAACATTTTATATCAATAATTTGATACCAACTGCAATTTACTTAGGCAAAAGAAGAATTATTATAATGAAAATATAATTCTTTTCATAAAAATATTGACAATAATAAAATATTATGCAATACTATAATAAACATACTAAATTTATTATTTAAAGATTTTTTTAGTAATATTTGCATTTGACTTCTAATTTGAATGCAGTTTAGAATTTTAGAATTACATATTGCATTGTTATATATATCTTTATTTATGTATGTATTTTTTCTTTCTCAATAGTACTGTTAAACAATATATGTCAATAATATACTAAATAATTTAAAAATATAATATTTAAAAAAATTACTTCACTTGCTTGTGAAATGCTTCACAAGTTAAACTAACAGAAGGAATTTTTTATGTACATGACTCACATTTCATATTTGTTCAATCTTGTGTGAGAGTCCATGTACTACACTACATCATAATGAACTATTCACGTTTTCATGCGTTTTTAATAGCACATAACTGATCAATTTATTTCATATTATAACTATAGTGAATATACTTTCAAATATATTATTTCAAAAAAAGGCAAAATAATTTATAATCCTATTAAAGTTTGTACTATTAAATATTTGTACATTTATTAAATATATATATTATTAATTTTATTTATTTACGTATATTTAAATTACTTATAAGCAAATGAAATTGTATTTTTTACATAAAAATATGTACGAATTGTGTTGGTTTATAATATATTATACGCTATTATGAGTAAATAATGTATTTAGATTTTAAAAGATTATAGTTTAATAACGTTTAATGGATTCTTTTATAACATACAATAATATTTTTCTATATTTAATTTTATATTAAATATATAATCACATACACTATATATAACTTTCTTTGACATTCTAATAGGATTATTTAAAGAATATATTCGAAAATTATTGCAATAAGTGAATAAAATTTATTATATTGAATAGGTAAATAGAAATTTATCAGTATTGAATAATACAAACTTATAATGATATTACATTGATAAATTATTTAAGTAATGTAAAGTTTTAATTTAGTCAATTGTATTCGAAACAAATAAAAATTTAATAAAATGTATTGTTTTTTATTATATTTATCACACTTTTTATACAAAATCGCATCTAAAGGACATTTGAATAATAATGTTATAAAGAGAAAGTGGAAAAATACTATTTGATCTATAATCAAATGTATTACTGAACTTACTTAAAGAAATCATTTCTGCAAAAGAGTTTGGCTTCCCTGGAGAAACATTTTTCTTGCAAGGGATTCCTACAATCGCAACAGCGTACGCAATCTGCATGCCAAGCTCGATCCAATACGTTAAATAAAAATTTATCCATAATCGGTTTGTCGCATCCTGCACATGACAAGAGCATCGCCAAACCACACCTCCCTGAAAATGCAAAGTAATTGAACCTTTTGATATCTATATTTTATCGATTTTGTTTGATTTTTCTGTCATTAGTTTTCTATGTTAGATTTTTTAATTGCTATTTTACAAATAACAAACTTTATTTATTTCAAAACAAAACAATTTGAATTTAAGAATTATAATTTTAAATAAATAATAAATTTATAATTGTTTTCGATTTCACTTGTGACGTGTTATTGTTTGCTATTTCTAATGAAATAAATTAAATGTAATTGAAATAAATAAGTGCATTTATAGATTTATTACAATTATTATTCCATAATAAAGATTGAATACTAATTTTAAAAATATTAATTTAACATTTTTTCTTATATTTGGTTTAATATAAATATAAAAATTGATTAGAATTTATCTGAATTAAACAAATAATTATATTCATATAAAAGTACTCAATTATTGCCAAATTAAAATAAGTATTTAATTAAGTAATAATACTATCAATTAAGTTTCAGTGCACATTTAATATTTTAGAATATAATTGCTACTTATTATTTATATGTAGAAATATATATAAAAAATATATTTCAATATAAAGTTTTAATGCGTAAAGAAATTAATGCATTTATTTAATTAATTACACTTTTAATTGTTAAGAAGGTTTCGTGCGTATAATTCTTTGGTCACATAGTTGTTTGTAAAATAATAAAAATCTTTCGTACTTCAAAAATCTATTATACTTTAAATAAAAAATGCTATTCATCATTATAATTGAGTAATTCCAAGCTACTTTAAATATATGCTTATAATATCATTAAATTGTTTACACAACTCTATTATATTTTATAATTATTTAAACATTAAAAAAAGTATCTGAATAACTTAAAACTTTAAAATCTTTTCTTCTTAATTACAATGATTATATAAATTTTTGTTATTAAATACTAGTAATTAAAAATTAATTGGATTAGTAATTAATAAAGAAATTATTAGGCACATTTTAAGAAAATAACAATTTCAAGAATATATCGACAATACAATAAATATAAATTAATTTGCGGTGTAGATATTTAAAAAAAAACGAAATAATATATGTACATATATAACAACGCAAGCCAACTAAATGTATAGCTACATCTAACTCCAAATATATTTATAATTTGTATATTGTACTTTATAATACTCAATGTAAAGAATAAATTGTTGTAAATAAAAAATGAACTGTTGAAGTTACGTACAGACGAAAAAAACTTAAATTCAACTTAAATTATATTTAAAACTATCACACATATAATAATATATTAATTTTAATATATAAGATGCAAGTATTTTACTATGAAAAAAATAATAATTCATACGAAAAACTATTTATACATTCGTGATATATTTTACCAAACAAATGTATTAACATATGAGTAATATAATTTTAAAGTATTAATGTCAGAGCTTATATGTAATATTATAATAATCAGTTTAGACTTATTAATTCTTTATTATTTAATTTGTAGAATTATTTATTATATTATTAATATTTATTATATTAATTTATGAAACAATAGGTATCAGTTGTAAAGCATTTTACACTTTATATCACAATTCAGTTTGAAAAAGAATTATGAATATATATTAATTGTTACAAAAATATAAACTAAAAGTTATTACGTTTTTCATTATTTTATAGAAAAAAAAACATTAAAATCCTAGTACAATGTAAGTTTTTTTTAATCTTTTATTTATTATATTCTTTACGTTGATTATATATTACGATGAATAATATCTGAATACCGTATAATAATATTAGAAAGATAAAATATACAACCTATTGGAAACAATATTTTTCTTAAGATAGATTAGAAGACAAAAGTATACATTAATATTAGATTTTAAATTGGCATAAAAAAAAAATTTTTTTGACTAGTTTAATTAATTCATTATATAAATTAAAAAATGTATAAAGTACAAAATTTCATTTATCTTAAATTCTATATTGTTATGTGGTTATACATAAATTATATTGATTATATATTTTGAATCTAATGCTTAAAAAATATTTATTGTAATTTTTAAATACTTTGTAATTGTAAATTATAGTAAATAGTAGTGGGGAAATGCATGATATATCTAAGAAGTTTAAAATAGTTGAAATGTTCATAATTTTGTGGTACTATTTAAGTAATAAACAACAACAACAGCAACAACAATCATTATAATAATATGTTTTATTTATTATTATTTTTATAGACACTTTAATATTGTTAAACAACCAAAACTTTGTTTTGTAGACAAAAATTTATATATGTGCTGTTATGTGTATATTGATGCATGTGAATGAAATTTGTCGATCCTTATAATCGTATAAGTATATATATTATGCAAGCCCACTATCGTTCAATTACATAGTCTAGTAATATAAATATCCGAAGACTGACCGTTTTAGTATAATAATGAAAGTATAATTGCTGCATTCAAGATTTTGTATTTTAAATATATTTACAAACAAAACAATATAGTTTTTTATTTTAATTAGAATTGTATTAGATAAGCATATATTTTTGTCCACAGAATTTCAAGTAAGTAATTTACATAGAATCATTTATTATCCTGTTTAAAAATATGTATAGAACTAAAAACCATGTATTTTCAAATATTTTATATATAAATATTATAATGTACGTATATATTTTAAATACTTCAATTGAACTATTATTATTTGTAAATGTATGAAAATAATTATAAATTTAATATTTTATCTATAATAATATATTTTTAATTTTATTTTGTATAAACAAGTATGCTGTAGTTGTTTGAGAATACAAAAAGTTTTATTTTTGTTTAAATTCTATTAATTTATTCTATTTTTATTTAATGTTATTTTATTACATTTAGTACATTAAAAATAATATAATTATTACTCATAATACATTATATTTACTAAAATATATTATATAATTATAATATTTTTTTTTTCTATGAATATAACATTCATTTCGAGAATTATTATTATCTAATTTTCTTTTATTTGCTTTATAGGTATTAGAATAAAAAAATCTTTTAAAATTAAAAAATTTATAACATAATATATATTATTTTATAGTATTATAAATAATATTTATACTTGTATTTTTAATATTTTGAACAATGTACATTCTTTATTTTTATTGAAAATTAATTTCTTTGTAAAAATATATACTATAAACCCAAGTATAATAAGCATTTAATTATTGTAAATTCTTATTTTATATTTCATTTAATAACTAAATTATAATATAATTAAAGAACATTATAATTGAAAATTAAAAATTATCTATTTTAATATTTTATAACTAATATTATTTAAATAGATTCCTACTTGATTAAAATTAAAATTTATGCTATATTATAATATATCTCGTATGTATTATAGGTAATATTATTGTAGGTAGTAGTTCTATATTATATAGCTAAATAATTTTAGGAACATTATTTCACCCTTAAAGCATTAAATTTTGAAATTAATTTAAGTTTAATATTCAGTTTAAATAAAATTAATAGAATTTGCAAGATAAGTTATTCTTACGTAAAATATACACATTGATATTACAAAACGAGTTGCATGTTCGAACTAATATCCAATTATTATATCAATCGAATAGATCAATAACTTTTAGATCAATTCAAAATTTGGTAAACAATAAATAAGTAAGTATTGAAGTAATCGCTTCTTACAATTAAGTTTTATAATAAATAATATTTAAAAGAAAAAGAAATATTAGTTATAAAATATATTGTTTAGTTCTTTTCTTTGTATTAAATTGCTAATACAATAAACATTTATTCATTTTCACCATAAAATTTGTTAAAATCCTTGTTTTTTTTTATATAATCACCAACCCATATATAAAATAAAATTACGGTTTACCATTAAAAATTATTAAAATATTAAAATATATAAATAAATATTATCAATATAATGAAAAATAAAAATAATTATATTATATTTAAATTAAAAAAATATATATTTTATAGAATAATCTATATGACTAAAATGATTGAAAATGTTAGATAGAAAATTTTTTGTTATAATTAACACAATAAAACGACTGAGACTAAATTATAAATCAAAGAAATATAAAAATGGAAATGGTGAAAAAATATAAAAATTAAACAAACGAACATTCACAAGGGATAGTTTGTGCTTACCTATGCCTATGTTGTGAGCTTGTGTCACTGGCAGGGGAGCGCAGCACGAAGTCCCGAGAGTCGCGACCCTTATCCGGGGGGCGCTTTGCGCGACCCCCCCAGGGGCCGCAACCCCGGGCCCTTGGGCCCCGTAACCCTCCACCTCCCCAGCCGCAGCCGTAATGCTAACCCCCACCACTGTCACTGCTGCTCCTTCAATAGGTCCAGCCTCTGTAAGCCCGTACCTACTGAACGACCCCAAGGGCCCCAGCGCTGACACCGACCTCTACCAAGCACCCCCAGACACTTTTCTCACAATTCTTTTTTTCTCTTTTTTTTCTCTTTTAAACTTTCTATCTCTTCTTCACACACTTATAAACGTAAACTCACTTTTGTTGCCGTCTATCCTCCCGCCACTTGATCTTTGATCACCACGTGGTACTGCGATTACGACGACGCAAGCCGTCGAAGCAGCCGTCAGTCGTAACTCGAGCATTCGATCTTCTTAGTTTATAACACGACGTAAACGAATTCTGCCATAATATATCTAGTTCTCTCTTATAAGGAAAGTGTTAATATTTGAATTATATTACAGCTACAGCTTTTGTCTTAAATGTGCAATAATTGTAAAAATAATGCTTCTTTATTGTTGTAACACTTTCATAAATCTTACAAACACTACGAATATAACAATGAGCAAGCATGAATGAAAATTTTCTATCCTTAAACGCTTTTTTTTTACTCGAGTTGCCTAGTATTTAAGCCCGAACTGCTTGCCAAGAGTTCGCCAACTAACTGGCTGGCTATACCTGCGATCGGGTTTGCCGTCATTGCCACTATGCTCCTCGTAGGCTAGGCACGCCCCACAAGACACAGTGATTCTTGCATAAATTTTCTATTGGTTGATACTGTTATAAAAGGCGGATCTAACCCCCGCCCTAGGTAGATATGGCTGCCACACTCTTTACTGTGGAGAGGGAATAAGCCTAGTTGTCTCGACGAACAGTAGCTTCAGCAAAGCTCATCAGTACGCTCGATTTATAAGATGACTTACATTTACCTGGTGTACAACGTCTTAATTCTTAGAAGTAGCTTGTATAATTTAATGAAAATACCCAGATTTCAACATGCTATGAAATTCACAGAACTAATGAAGTTTTGTATAAATAAAAAATCAAATATGCAATGTTGTGCCCTGTGTTTTTGTCGAAATTTATCGAATTGAAAAATTTTTACCAATGATTTTATCCAAATGATTATGAATATATAAAAAAAAATTATTTATTCAGTACATTGAATTCTTTTCATAAAACATATTTACGTATTTTTGTATTTCAATTTAAAGAAAAATTAAATACTTATTATAATATAAGTTTCCATGTTTTATTTACTTAAAAAATACTTTATAAATCCAACTTATAAGATAAAATGGTAATACAAATAAAACTTTAATAATATGCTCTTAATATGTAACGCCAATAAAATGTTATATATCGCTAATATTTATATATTATACAAAATACTGTATCGTAAATTAAAAAATATAAAATATATTCCTTGGCACTTCGATGTTTATTTTAACAAATTATCTATATATTCAAATGGAATAAAATTTAAATATGTCATTCATTTAGATCTACTAATAAATAAAAATGAACAAACGTACACATACTGATACGAAAGTTTCTAAAGAATTCGATAACATATAATTACATTTATATATTTTTTAGATATTTATTATAACCAATTAACTTTTTATGTAAAAAACTTGTATAAATATAATTTATTAAAAAATAATATTTATTATAAATTATAACGTACATATAAACGTAAATTCTGAATTAGAATAGGTAACGATATTTGAAAATTAATTATATTAATTATATAATTAATCAATTATATTATTTATTACCATTTCATAATTATTATATTAACTAACATCAATTTTACTTCACAGAAACACATAACACAATATAAAATTTACAATCATATTACAGCTTTATATTTTTTTCTTAAAATATGATTATATTACTTTAATTTTTATATTAAACTTTCATTATATTATGCACATGAATAATATATTTACTAGTTTTTATAAATTTTGAATGAATTTAAATAAATTAAAAACACGATAATCCAGATATTAGCTTGTGTTACGTAATATATTACATCAGAATTGTCCATATATTATATTATAAATAACACTGGTGCTCTTAAATGAAAATAATTATAAAATTTTTAAAAATTATTTATTATGTAATTAATTTATTATAATATCTTTTAGCATCAAACAATTGAATTTTTAAATATACCTACTTATAAATTTTACAATTGAAAAAAAGTTCTTAAACTGTATTTTAATGCATACAATATATTAACTTTTAATATTCATAGTATTTAATTAATTTTATAATTATATATATATTATATATATATTATAAAACCATCATTACATAATGAACAGATAATAATAAAAAAATTAAATTAATTAAATCAATATTGTAACAAAAATGAATAAATGTTTAATGTATTAAATCTTGTAAAAAATTATTAAATATAACTATTAAATATAACTACAATAAATAAACAAATAAATAAACAATTAAATATAACTGCTATAATTTAACAATTTCGTATTAAGGAAATTATGATTTTTATTATTTCCATTATGATTCCAAAAAATTTACAAAAATTATTTTGTAAAATTATTGTATTTTTATCATCTATATATATTAAAATAAATTACATTCATTATTTTATAATGTAAGTTATAATAAAAAGTGTATTGTTGTACATTTAAATTTATCTTTACGTAAAATTAAAAAATTGCTATCAACAGAATTATGACAAGTATTATTAGTTTTGTATATTTAAACAGTATAAGTATATATCCTGACACAAGTATCTGTATTTCATTTTTATAACCAATATATTTTTTGAAACCGAAACTTAAAACTTTCAAAATATTAGAATAAAATATAGTGTTATTATATTATAACATTTAAGTACCTGTTTGAAAAACAAATATATATATACATATTTGTAAGCTTATAATTATTTATTTCTCTTTTCAAAAATATAAACCTATATTGAATAATTTATGAAATAAATTATTTGATCATGTAGTTTATTCAAAAATATTAATAAAAGAAATCGCTTTTTCTTTATATTTTTATTTAATATATAATTATAATTATGCCTAAAATAATAAAATCATTTCAGTATTTTTAAAGTTACTTATTTTTTGTCGTAGTTTCACTGATAAATTTTCAGAATATAATACCAAACCTAGATTTCAATTAAACAGATCTTCATTTTTTTCATTTTCTACTACCAAGTTTCATGTTTTATTTTTAAAATCATGCAAAAATTTTGTCAATACTGAAGTAAAAATATACGTGTAAATGATATGTATGTTTTTCTTAGCCGCCAAGCTTAATAAAAAAATTAAAATATTTAGAAATCATAAAATGTTCAAAATTAAATAAAAATATTAATTTTTATTAAATATTAAAAACTATATTTCTTAATAATAAAAAATACTTTAAAAATTCCTTTTTTACATTTCAATCAATATCAAAAGGTTATTATAATTCCTATTTTATCAATTATAAATGTTATTAGAATTTCAATAAATAATTACTTTTTCCTATTTACAAAATTTTTACCAATTTTATGTTACAAAATATAAAATATATATGTTTGAACAATGAACGAAATTGTTTTTTTTTAAATATATTATGTATAAAAATAAAAATACTTGTATCATAATTATTTCTAAATACAGAACAGCATTCAATTTATTTATGCAATAGTAAACTAGAATTATAATATGTTTTAATTATTTTCATTACATGTTGTTAGAAATTTAATTCTAAAAATGAAAATTATATTATTTTATTAAAATGCTACTATAAATTTTATAACATTTTCTATTATATAGTCTTTAAATTATTTTTGTAAAAATACATTAATTTGTTTCATTAATGTAAAATAATATAATATGTATAAATTGCAAGATTTTCATAAATTAAAAAATATACCAACTAAATTATTTAAAAATGAATTTCAGTGTTAATATTTAATTTATCACAATACCTTCTAGAGTACTGCAAAAAATATACACATTAAGCTAATTTTTTAACAATAGTACTATATCGTATTAAAAAAGTATTATTTTGAAATTATCTGTAAAAAATAGTATGCATACATTTTAAAATATTTTATATAGTATTTTATTGCGATTACAATCGTCAGTTTATGTAAAGCTTATATAATTAGTTATAAAAAATTTAATTTAATTTATATTCAATAGAATAAAATAAAGATCCTTGGTTCACTTTAGTTGACAGTTGATAACATATTTTACTTTAATAAATATCTTTAAATATATTTATAAGTATATATTTATTTATATTATAAACTAAGAAATAATAATCCAATTAACAAATTGTTTATAATCTTCAAATACATAATACTGTATTATAAAATTTTTTGCAAATTTAATTCAATTATAGGATTATTGAAAAATTGTAATAATACCTTTTGTAGGTACAAAAATTGTAATAATACCTACCAATATTGTAATTATAAAAGAGATTACAATAAGTATATTTGATTTACAAATATCATAATTCATTATTAAAATTGTTACATCATCTTATACATGTATACTATGATACATATGTGCATAATATAAAAATATTAATTATTGTTAATATTTATGACATATTATTGTTTGTAACTGTTTAAAAATTAATTCCACTAATCCGGCTCGTCAACCAAATGTGTAGAATTAACTAAGAAACCACTAGATGTTGTGTGGGTGAATGCGTGGGCAAGTGGAAGGGTTAATGCACTGATTCAATAATTAACACATATAATTCTTATTGCTGTTATTCCATTTAATTTCAATTTATTTCCAATTTAAAGATGATTAATTGTGATGAGTTATAAATAAACTTTACGTTTCTCAATAATTATGTGTTGTTGTGATATAATTCTATTGGAGAACCAGAGGGTTGTGAATTTCTTGATCATCTGGACGAAACGTGTTAAATAATGATTTATTGTGGAAAGAAATAGGCTATAAACTATTGTCACTTTTTTAAATACTTGAGAGGTTGAATTTTTTTTAATCACTTGAGAGGTTAGGACTGTTTGTTGTGCTCTTGAACGAGCACAACTGTTCTTCTCTGCGACGTGATCTTGGCAAGTGTTGCAGTGCCTCTAATGATAAGTCGTGTGAGTGCGCACGAGCCTAAGATTGAGGTTAGAGGAAATCTGCGGAAATCCACTTTCTGGCGCGAGTTGCTTGTCTTGCGTAATGAGCATGCGCGGGAAGCTTCTAGACACTAAATGCTTTAACTAAATGCTCGCTAAACTGCGAGGAATTGGTACTAATGCCGACTTACTTGAAGTTGTAGTGTTATTCCTTCTTTTCTCTCACGGGCGTGAAGGTGAAGTTCCATGCGCTAACTGCTTGCACTTGAACTTTTTTGCCTCTCTTTCTTGAGATGACGAAAATCTGGTTCCTTGGGCCTTATTTGTTTGGCGAGATTATCTGTATCTGTGGTCGCGAATCACAGAATGAAAGCTATTTTTACAAAACTCAGCTGAACGACTTTTCACTGTTCCTCCTTCTTGAGAATAGTCGTGACTTATCTGTGGTGAGAATACGTGTCGGTACATTGCATTGTCCCTCTTAAATAGTTCACTGACCCGGTTCCACTTGGGACCCTTTCTTCTTTCCTGTATCCAATCAGAGTTTGACTTTGGGCA